CTAAACGTTTTTAAATCGGATTATTGAATTTCATGTAAGGTTACACGGAATATCAATATTTTTTAATTAGCCATTTTTCATTACTGAAAATGCAATATCCTAAAATTTACAGTGTTGTATAACTATTTTAAGCAGGCTTTATACATCATATAAAAACACATCATAGCTGAAATTTTGGCTAACGACAAATTTGAAAGAATTTGTGACAAGAAATTCGAAAGAAAAGTTAAAAAAAAAAACTTTATAAATATTTAAACAAACTCTAAAAATATAGTAAGATAAAACAATACCAATAAAATAATAAAAATATAAGTCATGTATCCAGAGATCAAAGCAAAACATATAAAAACACCTAGCAGTATTTTATTTCATAAATGCGGTCAACCAATAAATCTGGTTTACCTATAAATCTGGTCAACCAATAAATCTTCCGTTAAAAATTCCAGTGTTCCTCATTAATCATCAAACAATAAAACGGTAAAATTATACAAAGTTTCTTAGTGTACTAATAAATAAAAATTTGTCATGGAGAAACCACAAAAGCCAAATTTAATCAAAATTATCGTAAGCTATAGGTATTTTATTACAATCTCAATCACTTCTTAAATTAAGCTCAGAAAAAAAAAATTATTTTAGTCTAATTTATAGTCATTTCTCATATTCTGATATTGTATTGGCTAATACACATATAACAATATAACTTAAATTGCAAAACTTGCAAAACTATATGTAAAGCAATTCAACTAGAATCATCCATCCAATTAGAATGGATGATTCCAGATGCATCTAGATGTGATAAAAAATATGAGAGTCTTCAACTTGAAAAAACTTAACTCGTATCAGGTTCTAATTTTCATGTTCAAATTAAAAATAACCTGGTACCAAATTATTTTCAAAATTTTCGACAACATTTACGCAAAATTATAACTTGCGTTTAAACAGTTTCCATGGCTATTATTCTAAGATTTTTTTTTAGTCCTAGCGGTCTTATCACAGAGCACCGCGGTTGAGCATTTAATTGGAAGTTCACGCCTCCTTCCTAACCGATGTCGCAAAACTTGTCCATAGTTGGGGTTTGAACCACGGAAATAAATAAAAGCTGGTTAACAGAGTTTTCAAATAAGTCACAAGGCCCAATGTTTAAGAACTTTAAAGGTTTAAATGGACAACAAACATCAACGTTTGAAAGGCCAACAATACATATTCTTAATTCTTGAAAATAAAAGCTCTAAAAAATAACAAAATAATAATAAAATAACAAAATCTTCGTTGGTTATTCTACTTTAGGTATTATCACAGGTCTGATTATTTTTTGAAAAAAAATAATTTAATATTGTATTTGTAATAACTTTTTTATTGAAAAACTATTTTGATTGCTTATATATTGTTGTAATGATTTACATAAAGAGAAGAAAAGAATAAAAAGTAAGATTAATGGTATAAACATATTTTAAATTTTTTATTCCAGCCATCTATCATAATTTTTCCAGCACTCATTTTAAGTGTTTTAAAAGTCATTACTGATGTGTTTTTTTCCAGCAATAAAATTTGCAATAGCATCTAACGTTGCAAATTAAAAAAAAAAAAAAACGGAACAAAGTTTAGTTTTTAGTCTTCGTTCCTATATCATACTTCCTCTAATTTTGAATTTGAGTTTGACTTTATGTATTTCAGATTCCAATTATACATGCATATATTACATTTATATATTTTGATGAGAAAGTGCTACACAATTCGAAGATAATGTCCATGCAAATTGTATTTTGAAATCGATGGTGCGTAGGCTTGAAGATTTTCAATATTTCAATTTTTTTGAAATATTGAGAAAGACACTCTTTCTCAATATTTCAAATTTTTTGAAATATTGAGAAGGTTTTTCATTGTTATTTGGAGGAAATATAGAAGCAGCTAATTACACTGCGCATTTTATTAACAGACTGATTTTTGGTTCTAACTGCAAATTAAAATTAGTTTTGCAAACTTTGAATTGCTGCATTAGTAAGACCTCCTTTACCACCTAGACATCTTTCTATTTTTGATTTTCTTATTCGTGTGTAACACTTATTTGCACATGACCAATACAATTAAGTTTTGAAACAAGTGTATCACTATCTTTCAACAGATGAAAATGCTTTCTTATCTCCATCATCAAAAAATTCAGTATAGCAAAGTTAAATATTTCAAATTCGAGCATTTAAAAAGTGGTTTCGCTCCAGCAACATTTATAGCAGTGGATTGGCGAGCAAAGGTGAGGTTACAAACGTTCGTACTTACTAACGTTTTTTATGCATCAGGATTTGTATTTTTTTTCTTTCCAACCAACAAATATTAATTTCAATATTTGAATAATACTTTGTAATCCATAAGTTTAAACACCATTGAAGACAAGCCGTTGCAAAATACACAAGAAACATTAGCATTCACTATATTAATTTTTAAAATAACAGTTTCTCCTGCAATGGCAATTTTAGTAGCAGTTTTTCTAACAATTTTAGTGTTTTTACTCATTGGATGCGGAAGGTCAACAAACTAATAAATATTTTTAAGACTGAAAGACCATGTCCACATAAAAGCATTAAATGAATCAACCTTTGGTTTGTGTCTAAAGCTCTGCTACTTTCAGAACTTGCTGAATGTATGAAAATCCACATTGAATGAATATAACCAACAAGGTAGAAAGCCTAACTTTTTTTTTTTAGTTCTTTTATTTCTTTATGTGTATCCAGCTGAATTTCCAGCCTGTTTCCGCCTGTTTCCACGTTCAGCCAATTTCCAGTCTGCAAGCTATTTTACACTGAAAAAACAATAACTGAACAACAGCTGCTATACTCAGTTTTATTTATGAGAGTTCTTTGCAGAAGTTTTTTTTTTTTCAAAATATTTTTTTTTTTTTTCAAAATGTGGAACATATTTTTTTATTAGAGCAAACAAACTATTTAACTAGGGTTGTTGATAAATAATGATTGACATGATAATGTAAAATTGACACGATAATGTAAAATTGACATGATTATATAAAATTGACATGATAATGTAAAATTGACACGATAATGTAAAATTGACACGATAATGTAAAATTGACACGATAATGTAAAATTGACACGATAATGTAAAATTGATACGATAATGTAAAATTGACACGATAATGTAAAATTGACACGATAATGTAAAATTGACACGATAATGTAAAATTGACACGATAATGTAAAATTGACACTCATTGCGACTTGTAGATTTAAAGCTTCCAATTTAAAAATACAAAAATATAAACTTATAACACAAATGAAACAGTTTTCTTAATAATAAGGGGAATAATAACAGTATGAAAAACAGCCAAAACTGATTTAATTCGAAAAGTGACTTTCCGGATTAATATCGAAATGGAAAATAAAACCGAAATTGTAAATAGTATTAAAAATCCCGAAAGCTGAATATATATAAACATTTTTTTAAATATATTTTTAGTTGATTAAGGTGCCTCAAGAAGTCCTTACGGTCTTATCACAAGAGCTTTTTTGCTTTTTGGTTTTGAACAACGGATCTAACGTTTCTGAGGCAAGTGCGCTACCACTGCGCCACGGCTGAATACGATAGAAATTAGCAGAAAATGATTAATATCGAAATTAAAAATTGTTAGAAAAAAGCCAAATTCTCAGTTGATGTAGCAGCGCTACATGTTCTACTTACCTGTCAGTCAATGTAGTAGCACTCCTCGCATGTTCTACCTACTTGTAAACCTTTGTAGCAACACTCCTCGCATGTTAATCAAAATTATAAAACGTTAATTAGACATCATTTTTATTGAGCAGCTAATTTTCGTTACTATTCTGTTTTCCCTGTTTTCGATAATGATCTACATTTGTGAATTTCGAAATAAATACTTTTCGACATAAATAAGAAAATAATAATTTTGATCTTAACCATTAAAATGAGTTAAGGCGCAAAAGTACGACAATTGGTATTAATAAAAAAAAAAAATAATATCGACTGACAAAATGATACTACTGAAAAAAAAAAAAGATAACAATAATAATAGCAATGAACAATCATACGATTGTTTAAAGATATACAATTTATTACAACTTATTATTATTATTTTATAGATATACAATTTATTACAACTTATTATTATTATTTTATCACGAATAAATAAAAATAAAAATAAATACTCCTATGATTGTACGATACCGTTTCACCATTTCAGAAACAGCAATGCGTTTTTTGAAATTCAAGCTTAGCAAAAAGAACGAAAATAGGTCATTAAGTAGTTGATAAAAAACTTGTTAAAAACCACTGAGAGAAAAAAATGCGCTACTATAATCTCTCTCTCTCTTTTTTTTAATTGAAACTGATAAAATATTTTTTCCGCAATATGTTTTTAGCTGGACGAAAAAAAATTACCAAACTTAAAATTATCTTAAGTTTCTTAACTTCCATCGCTCAAAGTTACAGTTTTATCCACACAAAAAAATTGCGTATTGCGTTAGCGGTGATATACCAATTTTTAAATTTGTAAATTTTTATATGATAAAAAAACCCTTTGAAAAATTAAGTTTTTAAATGTTTTATTGAAAAAAGTTTGTTAATTCAACGCAGTGAACTTACGAAATAAAAGTTATTAACCACGCGTTAAATATGTATTTCATTTTTAAAATTTTTCATAGCTTTTTGGTAATCTTTTTTTAATTAAATTTTATTATACAAAAACTATTTCAGTTTACGTTATTTTCGTTTAAGAAATAAAACTTTTACAGCCAAAAAAATTTCAAAATATCTGCAATGGAGAGCGACAAGCGCGTGCTTTAATCGTTTAACTTAATAATCTGCTTTAATCAAAACAACTGCTCGACAGTTTTTTTTATATTAGCATTCGACATATAGTACTTATTCTTCTTTTGAATTCTTACGAAGAGAATGCGGTTGAGGTTGCCTAAACTAAATTTTGATTGGGGATTTAGCTGTCAATCAAGCGTGTTTAATTACTCAAAGACAATAAATCCCATACACAATATTTGATACGAAAGCAATGTGCATGTCGTGCTTTGGAAACGGATTCTGAATAGGTGACTATTATTCGTCTTTTCATTCAGAAATTATTGTCGTTGTTGTTTTACTTTGTTATAACTGGTACCGAACAAGAGATTTATAGAAGTGGCTTTAAAAGAAATCGGAGAAGTTCTTGGAACTCGTAAACCAACCGAAAATTAAACCACGAGGTTGGAGTAGTAACTAAATAATAAAATTTAAAAACAATAAACCATATATTTCAAAAAACAACTTAACAGCGCGACTATTAATTTTAATTATTTACATTGAATTATTTTTGAATAGTTTACGCTTTTGATTATTTGCGGTTATGGCCACTGCAATTAATGTTATTCAACATCCCTCTGACGCCAATAATGATACTCATTTTAAGCAAGTTGTAGGTTACAACACTTCGCAATCCATGCTTGTTCCACAAAATTTAAACCTATCAAATCGTGTATCTAATTCTCTTGTTTCCGACCATGAAACTTCTAAACAAGAAGATTTTGATAAGGTCAAAAGACCGATGAATTCTTTCATGGTGTGGTCTCGAGAGAAGCGACGAAGACTCGCACATGAAAATCCTAAAATGCATAACAGTGAAATAAGTAAACGCTTGGGAGCCGAGTGGAAAGTTTTAACTGAAGATGAAAAAGCTCCTTTTGTTTTTGAAGCAAAGCGTTTAAGAGCTGAACATATGAAATCACATCCTGATTACAAGTATAGACCACGTCGTAAAGCTAAGACTTCATCAAAAAAAAACGAACAGAAGATGCCTCATGTAATAACAACTGATGGGAAACAAATTTTCATGCCCACACAGTACACTTCTGGATATGCAATAACAGGAGGTATTAATTACCCCTTTAATGGTTATTTATCTGCACTAGTAAATGGACATGAAGCATATGCGAGTAATACATCACCATCAGCTGTCTATGGCTTTCCACATGGAGCAACCATTGCAGTGACCAGTACTATATCACAATCACAATTGCCTTCTTCATCAAGTTCCTCAGTAACAGCTGCTACTGGTTTATCTGCGCAATACAGTGTTGTACATTCAGGTACTCCAACTTACATGTATAGTCCGTTAGGATTTCCATATCTTAATGGTGCTGCTATGGGTACATATGGTGGGCAGCCTTATTCACATGCTTTAACACTTAAACCAGACACATCGTCTATCACTGTATCAACTGAAAAAGCAACTAGTCATTTATCAATGCATCATGATGCTGTTCGTTCAACAATTGCACCAAGTGTTTATTACCCGATTGGTATTTATCCGACTGCTGTTGATCACAATTGTAACCTAACATATGATCCAAAAATACCATATGCAACAATGACTTTATTAGAACAACCTCATGGAAATGTGAAACGTGAACAAACTCGTGAGGGTACAACACGGAATATTTCAGATGATCACCAAAGTAGAAGAGTTAATACACCTACATATTCTATTTCGTCCAACACTGCAACGCAGTAGAAAATTTTCCTGAACTAAATAAACATATCGATTGTCATAATAATAGTGATATCATGATTAAAATGGTATTAAAACTGCTTCAAGTTAATATGAGTTAAAAAGCTTAACTGAAATAACTTGGAAACTTTTGTACAGATATAAGTCTAAATTTATAATTTCTTTTATTGCTAAAGAAACGAAATCTACTTGGTGTATAAACAAGTAAAGTTATTTATTATTATTTTTTAATTTGCTTGTAGAAACTCCATATTTTTAAACATATAGTTTTGAACAATCTTCAAATCATATTAAGAATTTATATGTATATACTGAGCTAGATATGTGAGCATATATTTCTAAGTTTTTTGATTTTTACTTTTGGTTTTGATTAGTTACTAAAAATTATATGACCATTGGAATTAATTTTTATATTTGTTGTTGTTTTATGTATTTCTATTTAAGTCTCCTTCAATAAAATGCTTAAATCTTGGAAGGAAATATTTTTTATGATTTTCTTTTTCTTAGAATAAAAAACTTTTTATTTTGTTTACTTTGTGTTTTTACTCTCAGAGGTTTTAATTATTTTCGCAGATACAATATCATTTTTTACATTGATTTTTTAAACCTTTTTTTTTTATCTAATTTTTAAAAAATTGGCTTGTCTTTGCAAGCCTTTTTTTAACAGAACTTTTGAGATGTGAAAACTAATTATTATTTTTTAATATTTTTCACATTATTTTTTTAGGTTCAGTTCATGTTTTCTGTTGTAAAACTAAAGTGCTGTGGATATTTGTGAAATAAATTTTGTAAACGAAAATAAATTTAAAAAATGAGAAATTTTTTATCTTTTATATAAATAATATTTTTCAAATTAAATCAGAATATTGTGGTTTTGTTTTTTTATTTATTATCTAATTAATAAATAAATAAAAACTAATAATATATTTTTATAATTATGCATATATATATATATATATATATATATATATATATATATATATATATATATATATATATATATAATGTAAACTAAGTCTGTTTGAACAATTAACGTGACGAACATTAAAAAAGACAGATGTTTTTTTGTGTGTTATTAGTACAGATGTTTAAGCCACTCTGGAAATGTATTTAAACAATATAAATTTTCTTTAATGAAGAAAACATCTAATTGAGTACTTGTTTTGAAATTCAATTTTTTTTGTTTGCTGAAAAAGTAAGATTAATCGGGTGAAATTTAAATCTTTTAATTTATCTTGAACTTTTTCATTTACTTCTGTTATAGTTTGGTACAAATTTGCATAATTTTTTTGGAAAGTATCCTTTAAAAAAAATTATAAATTAACAAGAGAGCTGTTGACCAGCTCTATTTTTATTTTTAATTTAAAAAGATTTTATGGTTGACTATGGTTAATAATGAAAAGATTTATCACTTCCGCTTTTCGACTCAAAAAAAGTATTTGAACCGCGGGCTTTTTCGACTCTTGAGTCAGCACTAATTAAATTTTTGAAATAGGGGAAAGCGGGGCAACATGGTGAATGGGGCAAGATGGGTTTTCATATAACAACTCAACAAAAAATCTTGAAATTGGGTGAAAACAAAACTGTATTTGCATCTTGTATTTTAAAACACCAATTGGTTTTTTGAAATATTATTAACGCAATTTTATACGCATAAATTTACTTTTTGCGCTTAAAAAAAAATTCCTCACTTTCGGTTTCTCATAATAAATAGTGTTCTTCAAGTTTAACTTCTTTATAAATTGTTTTTTGCGATTTGTGTTTATTTTTTGTTACTTTAGTTAGAGTTATTGGTAGTTTTTAAAATTTTATAAAATTGGAGGTAAAAATTACATTGTAAGTCATCTTGCCCCAGTCACGTGACCAGTTGACAAATTTATGATCTTTTTATTTTAATATTTATTCCAAAATGTTGTATTTGCAAACTGAAAATTCATGCTGACAATGAATCATTTTAATAACATAAAAATACTGAGAAAGTATTACGGCTTCACAACTGAGAGTTTTGCAATAACTCGGGGCTTTCAAAACGTTCGCCATGTTGCTCCGCTTTCCCCTACTTAACGAGTTCGTGAAATCTTCGCAAACGGTGGGAGCGTTTTAACGGAAAAATTCAATTTTTTTAAAAAGTATTTTTAAAAATAAGGTATAGTAACGATTATAAAAAAATTAAAAAACAGTAAGTATAGGAAAGTTGTTCAAATGCTAAACCAATTAATAATAATCAGTAACGAACGTCGAACACATAATGTGCAGGAAGCTAACTAAATTTTCTTTTTGAGAACCCTAAAAGCATTCTTCAAGTGAATTTATGGCGTATGCAAAATATTTGTTCTATGTGCTTAGACGGCCGCAAGATTTATTGATGTTTGAGATATGACACTTTAAGCCATTTCGCGATGTCAGAATTATCTTAATCTATCTCTTTCAGTTTTGCGAGAAAAATGAGTATAAAAGAAAACTTTAGGAACGTTTTTATAACTTAAGTTTACTCCGCTCCTTTTTAATTATAACTTAGGCTTCAATGCAATAAAAAAACTTTATTTTGGATACATAATACTATCTATAGCTCATTTTTTTTTTCAAAAAGTGGAAATAGACGTCGCAATTTTCCAAATTTTTTTGCTTCAAATTCCAAATTTAAGTGCGTTTATGCTTTGCAAAAATATCTCAAAACAATTGACTACAAAAAACTTTAGGGCAATGAGTAAAATTTTCAAAATGATTATTTTATACTAAATTTAAACTCATCAACAGGTTTTAAACTTCATTTAAAAAACTTGTAACTTTCAAAAGTTGCAAAATTTTTTCTCTCCTCACCATTTTAAATTTTGAATAGCTATAACTTTTGAAAGTTTCAAGATTTTTCAATAATGCCAAAAAGTGTCATGTATGATAAATTAAAAAATCCTGTGGGAGTCCATGCTTACGCGCTAATTTGATTGGCTGGGAATGAAAAAGATATTCTTTTTTAACATCAAAACAGCTAAGTATCACCGTATTTGATTCGCTTGTTTCTCTAAATTTTATGTATAATATAATTTTTATTTATGATAGGTATTAGTTTAAAATATTTATATAAAAAAAAAATTGTTTTATACTTTTATTCGTGGGTTTTCAAACTATAGTATTTTTAACAGAGGCATATTTTAACTCAGCAACCGTGTCGTAGTGGTAGCGCACTTGCCTCAGAATCAAATGATCCGCGGTTCAAACCACTCCGATTTCTTTTAAAGCCACTTCTATAAATCTCTTGTTCGGTACCAGTTATAACAAAGTAAAACAACAACTACAATAATTTCTGAATGAAAAGACGAATAATAGTCACCTATTCAGAATCCGTTTCCAAAGCACGACGTGCACATTGCACATTGTGCTTTGGAATGTGTTTTTTCTATCTTTTATATTACAAGATACTGTTTGATTATTGAATAACAAATAACTATAAGAACATATTTTTTAATTACTCTCATTGTTTTTGTCACGTAATATTCGTAATAGTCCTGATTTGTTTGTTTAAATTTGTATATATATATATATATATATATATATATATATATATATATATATATATATATATATATATATATATATATATATCAGAATAACTAAGAATTCTTCTACTTTACTTAATAATATAATCATTAACAATTTTTATGACAACTGTATTTTCACAGGTATAATCAAAACAGATCATTTTCCTGCTTTTTTAATAACTAGCATTTTTTTTTTTTTTTTTTTAATATATTGATTTAGGTGCCCCAAGAAGTCCTTACGGTCTTATCACAGAGCACCGTGGAAGAACATTTAATAGAAAGTTCACGCCTCCTTCCCAACCGATGTCGCAAAACTTGTCCAGAGGTGGGGTTTGAACCACGGATCTTACGTTTCTGAGGCAAGTGCGCTACATAACATTATAACAGTTAATAATATAACATGCATCATAGTCATAAGAAATATATAGTCTGGAAGCAAACAATAGCGCTTTGTTTATGTTTTTGTTCCAGAAATTACTCGTTCTCATTCTTCCGAAGGTGCACAGTAAACAAAAACATCTCAAAGCGAAAGTAGCGATCTCCTTTTTTTCTTGTTACTTTTACATTAAATTTAAACAACTGTAATTTATTTTAGTGAATTGATTACAATTTTCTTTATTATTATTTGTTCTTGCAAGCTTGGTATTGTTAAAAAAAAAAGATTTATTCTAAATTATGCAAAATTACATTGTTCCATGTCAATAAGACCTTATCTAATATTACTAAAAAAGTTCAAAAGTCTATGATATAAATTTTCTTCAGCCTAAAAATTGACTTTAAAATAATTGTGAAAATTAAAAAACGAAAATATATATATATATAAATACATAAATATATATATATATATATATATATATATATATATATATATATATATATATATATATATATATATATATATATATATATATATATATATATATATATATATATATATGTATATATATATATATATATATATATATATATATATATATATATATATATATATATATATATATACATATATATATATATATATATATATATATATATATATATATATATATATATATATATATATATATATATATATACACACAAAATAGAGTGCCTAATTTTCCTAATATAAAAAAGCAATAATAAATTAGTTGAAATCACCTTCTCAAAAGTCTTTTTTGAGAAAACATTAATATATATATATATATATATATATATATATATATATATATATATATATATATATATATATATATATATATATATATATATATATATATATATATATATATATATATATATGTATATATATATATATATATATATATATATATATACATATATCTATATATATATATATATATATATATATATATATATATATATATATATATATATATATATATACAGGGCCGTATCTAGCATACAAAGACTGGGGGGGTGCAGTCGTCAAATTAACCGACAAAAATTTTTCTTGTTTTGAAAAAAGGATTTTTTTCGGAAAAATTTTCAAAATCATAATTGCATTCTTAATTTACTACCTGTAACACGTTAAAAGAAATAAAATATATTTTTTCTGAAAGATTATATAAACTTTACAATGCAAATGAAATTTACAGTATTTCAAAAGCATATACAAACAACAACAAAGTTAACGTATAAAACGCAAAACTGCATAATCAATTATTCAATTTGAATACGTCTTTGTGTTGTTATAGACCATTTTTTTACCAACACGTCAAGATCTATATTGTCCACTAAATCTTTTTCTGACGCCAACAAAATTAATGACGCCAATCTTGCATCTGACATAGTAGAACGCAAAATATTTTTAACAACTTTTAATTTGCTAAATGTTCTTTCATCGCTTGCAACGGACACTGGTGCTGAAGCCATTAGCTTGAAAGCTTTGAAAACTCCTGGGAATATGTTTTGTCTTTGCCACGACAGTTTTAATTTTTCATTGTTTGTTGGAGCATCAGATTTAGTAAATGTGTTCATAAAAATTTCTAACTCTGCATGAAATAAATGAGCATCTGTATATACTCCATTATTTGGCATTAATAGGCACAGTTTTTCGACATCTTTTGTTGTAAAGGTTTTTGTTGACTGCTGAAGAAGAGAAAATGGTTCAATGCTCAACCATGAAGCCAGTAAATTTTCATTCATTTCGTAAATAAGACAGTCTAACACGCAATTAAGTTGTTGGGTGTAGTATTGATAGATATTTCTAGAACATAGCGTATCAGGATTGTCATCATAGCGTTTTGGAGTTACTCTTCGTCTATGACGATCTTCGTATAT